ACCTAAGTTTAATCCAACAAAACAGGATACAGAGTGGACATACATTATGCTATTGAATATGTTTTTAAACCATAGCTCAGAAAAATAAGCTGGAATGTTAAAAAGATCCAAGTAGTACTCCCTGGGTAATAGAATCATGGGTGGTTTTTGTATTTAATGTGCTTTGCGCTACATTTTCTTGTTTTCTAGTGAGCACTATCAAGTCTTTAGTAAGGTTTTCAAAAAATCTTTTCAAAAAAAGTTTGTTTTCAAGTGGGGGCGAGGGGGAGCCCTACTTATCAAGCATACTAAGCCTACTGAAATTTGTCCTTTTCTTAAGCCTGGCTCTGTTCAGACATGGGTGCTTGCTTGTAGTCCCAGCTACTTGGGAGGCTGAGGCAGAAGCATTACTTGAGCTCAGGGTTTTGAGACTACCTTGGGCAAAACAGCGAGGCCCCAACTCAAAACAAAGGAAAATAAATAAGCCTAGCTCTCTACTCCACTTTTTCTCTAACCCTTGTGTGGCCTCACTGTGAGGCCAGACATATTTCCTGAAGCATGGCCTCTTGCTCCTGCTCACTGCTCCTACTTCCACTCACCCCAACCCACTTTGTACATGACCACACAGCAATCTCCCACTCCCAACTAGCATTCTTTGAACATAACTGTCTCACTTGTTTCCAAATCAGCAAGTAATTTTAAGAGTTACAATTAAACCTAGTAGAAATGGAAGGAAAAAGAGGAAAAGTAAATTAACTTGGATTATAGCACTGCTTTTTGTTTTATTTTGATACAGGTATCACTAAGTTCTCAGGGCGTTGCTAAGTTGCTGAGCTGGTTTTGAACTTGTTATCCTCCTGCCTCACCCTCTTGACTACCTGGGATTAGAGGCGTGCGGCCTGGCTAATTGCTTTTTCTTTATTCAAAACTTACTATGGAATGTGATCTTGCCATTCCTTTCTCTATTAAATGACTATTTTCTTAATTCTTATTTTAGTATGTTTAATAGGTATAACCTCTCCAGTCATATATAAAAATGTAAAATTGTAAAAGTAAGTAAAATTGTAATTTAAAAATCAGAAATAACAAGAAAGGGAGGCTGGGGTTGTGGCTCAGGGGTAGAGCGCTCGCCTGGCGCATGTGAGGCCCTGGGTTCGATCCTCAGCACCACATAAAAATAAATAAATAAAATAAAGTTACTGTGTCCAACTACCACTTAAAAAAAAAAAGAACCAGGAAGTACATTTAAATTTGTTTCCTAAAATAACATTTCAATTAATCTCTACACTATGGATTCTTCCTTTTTCATCTATCAGCCACTTTATTAAACAATTTGTCATTTTGGCCAAATAACCATTTTTTAATCTGCCTGTTATATTCTTGATAAAACTATTGGTTTTTATAATTTATTAATTTGAGCTTATGTTGTCAATAACAGAGATGTATTAAACTTTCATCTTAAAAAGTATAATTCTACACATTTATATCTGTTTATCATATAAAGCTAAGTATGTATCTAGCATATAAAATATTTATATCTATAAATATATATTAAATTCATTTAAAAATGTATTGGAAAATTAACCTGAGTCTTATAATAGTTTACTTAATATAGTTTGAGATATTTATGATAACCCAAATTCATCACGCCAGGCAGGAATTTTCGTATTCCTGTCTCTTGGTGTCCTTGAGGGCACATGCCTGCCTGAGTGGGCACACAGGTGCATGTTCACAGTACAAGATTCCTTTCCCTTCTCATTTCCTGTAACTAATGGGTTTTAATATGTCCTTTTGTAGATTTCAATCTTTCAATCTTTGTAATACATAAACTTAAAGATCCAAGACCTGGTGACTGACAGCTGAAGTTATCACATAGTGCTCACTTTTTTCTTTTAGCTTTAAAAATATACATGCACGCTTGCTTTAAGGTGTCTGGTTATATTCTAGATCACTAGTGCTACAAAAAAGTTTAATCATTGGAAAAGTGTAGGTTTGCTAGAGTATGGAAGACTCCACAGATTCAATGACTTAGCTGTTCTACATGGTAAAAAAAATAAAGGTATTCTATACTCATCCATGAAAGTGATTCTTCATCAAAATAATTCAGATAAATCAATGAAACTGTTTACAAACTGAGACTGTTTTCAAATCAGTTCAATTATTGTTTGTTCTTGATATAATTTAATGTGTATCTATCTTCCTGAAGTTCCTTTGCAATTCTACCTTCTATTCTTTATCCCCTCATTTTTCCACCCCTGGTGGGCATCTACAAAATGTCTAGTAGCTTAATATCGGTTAAGATGAAATTTATTTGACTATCCTCATGTAGACCTCTATATCCAGTTATTTAAAGACAGAGTAATTTTTCAGTTGTCTGAATCATGATACAATATCTCACTAAGTCTTCAAAGTTCAACTGTTAGACAAAAAGCAGCTGATATTCTGGAGGATTACACTAATAAGGGAATAGATCTACATGTAACAGCATAAAATTATTACAGTATCACTGAAAAGGGCCTTAAAATCATACAATTTACACCCTTTAACTACAAATGAAGAATTTTATTTACTTGTTCAAGGTCATACTGCTTGTTAGGACACAAGCCAGAGGAGCATCCCGATTTCCTGGTCTTAATTGTTTGGTCCATGATATACTACTAAACTCTATTTTTTAAGATTTTCTTTTGTAACTATAGTAAATACACCTAACACAATGTTCCATCTTAACACTATTAACATTTAAGCTTGCCTTTTGGAAGGAGCAAAAGCATCCTAGCAAACTGCAGAACAACAAAGAATGCAAGGTCCTCACATAGAGATTAAATCCTGTTTATAGATGGGAGAGATGTGGTGTTTGGATCAACAGCTCTGAAGAGAAAATTTCCTTTTTCTTCCCACACACAGCATGTGCCATCTACTGCTTAAAAGCCCAATTAGGAGAAAGGCCAGCTGGACCCTAATCCACTCATTTAATAAGAAAATCCTGTTAAATCTCCCTCAAACCAAGTAAGACTCACCGACGAACATGAAAACACAGCAATATACAACATGATATAGAAAAAGTACCACCCCACCAGTGCCAGCATCCCCAATGAAAGTATTTCCCTTAATAAGAACAGCTCTTACTGTTTTATAAACACTTGCTGGGGGCATCATCCCAACTGCAAAAGGTGTTCTTGGTTCTACTCGGCTTCTCCTTTCACCATGGTTCAAGTGCAGAGACACTAAAATCTACCGCGATGCGAGATGTAAAGGATTCACTTCGCAATCAATGTCCTGTTTTCTTTACTGTTTCAGATAATGTTACCAAGCATGAGTCACTTTCTCCCACTCACTTCCTGATTTAAACTTTCACTGCTTGAGAGTCAGTATTTAAAATTAATTCACTAACTGGAAGAAATAAGCCATTTGCTCTTTGTGTATTGGGTCCCCCCTACCCCCAACCCAGGGGCAGTGAAGAGTTTTCATTTGGGTTAAAGTTCTCAATACAACCAACAATCATTTTTAACTCTTATATTTTAGAATGAGTCCTTTTTGAATTTCTGCCTGTGTTCATGTCAGAACACCATAAAAAAGAGAAAAAAAAAAAAAAAAAACTCCTAAGCCTTGTATTTGCTGTTTATACATTTTCTGATAACTGCAACTTTTCAATTTTCAACCTCCCTAAATAGTTATTTAGCATAATCAGTGAGAGACTGAGCAATACAAAATTTTTCTTCTCTTCAGAGATGTAAATAGCCTTTAAAAAAAAAAAAAAAGTTTTCTAATCTAGGGAAATTTTGGATGATACTTATATTGTACCTGTGATCTAAGAAGTCCTAAATACTGTATAAAACCCATATTTATTAATATTCCCAAAGAACTAAACTGACATGAATAAAGAATACAATTCAAATGACCTTCTTACTGGAATTATATAACAATCTCTGCAAGTTAGTGGACATGCCAGAAGCAGCAGCAAGATTTCCTGGTTCTAATTGTTTGGTCCATGATATATTAGTAAACTTTGTCCTTTTTAAAGATTTTCCTTTTACTTGTGGCAAAAGAAACTTAACATCATCTATTATGTTAACATTAAGAAATTCAACATTTTAATTTACCTGAATGCAGGTAAATTATGCGTGTATTTCACCAGCAAATCAGGTGTTAGATGAGATTTGTACAGGAGCAGAAACACCATCCTGGTAGTTCATCAAACTACTTCCCTTTTCAGGAAGGACATGAACTTTCAGTTCACCACTCCAGTAAACTATCTGTGGCTGTGGCAGTCACTGTCATTTTCTGCATTTTGCTATTTGGATTTGTAATTTGTTGTACCTGGGACACAGCACTGCTCTGAGTGTCACAGCACAAAAGGTCTGGGCCATTTATTAATTACATAAAGCAGTAGAACTTGGAAAATCACTTAACCCTTCTAGACTGTTTCTTCTATTAATGAACTGCTTGACTAAAATGATCTCTAAATGGCCTCCTAATTCCAAAACCAAGCCACTTAGTATTATATTGGGTATTGATAAGAAAACTTTAAAAATGAGAAGTCTGAAAAGAGTTATAATCTGTTGAATAATTTAATACTTCCATATTAATGTCCTTCAAAGCATCATCTGCTAGTGGCAAGTTCATCTTCCATGTCTAATATTTTCTTTTACCAGATTAGAGAAGTTGAAAGAAGAGTATAAAATTTCTTCTTGCTTAGCCAGTAACCATTAGGGAGGCAGTACCAACATCTAGAGCAACAAAGAACATTTCCTTCCTACATGAAGACCACATGACTGTGAACTTCCTATATCAAAATTGGCACCAGGTTCTGACCCTTGCAATTGCAATAGAGAGATCAACAGAAACTACACAGAAAGGTGAACTATTCCCTCAGAGATGGCATTAGTGCCCACAGCTTGAAACTGCCTTAACTACTGGATGGGGTGATCTGACTCACTCATTTCATGGGTGCAATGAAATAGTTTTAAACTGCTGTTCGCTGGGCAGCACTTGCCCTGCTGTGAGCTAGCCTTGTGCTCTACCTTTGTCTCCTGGTGCTGGTCCAGCTGTTCCAGTTCCACAGGGCTTTCTCCATTTTCCCTCTCTTGAACCTTGGCTTCTGCTTCCACTTCTTCTTTAAGGGGGAGCACTGCGCCTATACTTGGAGTCCTGCAGCTACCATCAGAAACATCTCCGTCATGGTCACTTGTTGTGGGTGATGCAGAACTGATGGCACTTTCATCTCTTTCTCCGTTCACCAAGTGTGTATCAAGGAAGGGTTCAGCAGTTTGAACAGGAGTAGCTGGGCGACCAGTGGCTGCTTGAGCCTCTTCACATTCCATCTGGTTTTGTGCTGCCATTATACCGTTGGCCACACAAGTCTGTTCACCCTGAGTCTGATCTGTACCATTTCCCTGCCTCTGTGGTGGGTGCTCGGAGAGGAGTTTTTGTGGAGGTGTGGGTGTTACTCCATGCCGTCCTGGGGTCCGAGGAGCATTTAAGTTTACAGCAGAATCTTTCTTCAAATCACCATAATTTGCTAATGCACTAAAAATAAAATACAAAGGAAGAGTGAAAACATTGGCATGGAAGTCTGAGCACATAGACCAATTTATTGTAGTGGAAAAGGGACTTTCCCCGCTATCTCACATGGCTTTGGAAACATGGTACTGGGGATGCTATTCACATTTAAACAAATAGTTAAACAAAGATGATAAGCCTGGGTTTACCTATGTGATCTGGAGCATTTCCTTAAGCAGGTTAATAATATGACTAGTTAGTAAAGATATAGGTGGAAGAATTATTTATATTTAATAAAATCATCAAGATTTTTATTTGCCTTAGAACTTTAAAAACAAGCATAGCAGAGCTAGGTGTGGTGGTACACACCTGTAATCTCAGCGGCTCAAGAGTCTGAGGCAGGAGAATTTTGAGTTCAAAGACAGCCTCAGCAACTTAGCGAGGCCCTAAGCAATTCAGTAAGACCCTGTTCTCTAAATAAAATACAAAAACGGCTGGGATGTGGTTCAGTGGTTGAGTGCCCTTGGGTTCAATCCCTGCTACCAATAAAATAAAGTAAAATAAAAAATAAAAATAAGCATAGCAGTCCCCAGTTTATGAACTTGTGATAAACCAGAAAGTTATTTTTATTTGCATGGCAGAACACATTCTTAAAAACTTAATTTTCCATGTTGCAATACCCTCTAACTGGTCTCCTCAGTGGTCTGTTTCCACTCTGAATCCCCTCCAATCTAGTTTCTACAAGTCAAATCAAACTCAGAGGGCTTTCTCACACTCTTGAGGGTAAATGATATCCTGATGTTACCTTCAAGACTGTACACCCTGCACCCCCTAGTGACCCCAACTCACACATGCTCCCCTGACCATGGTCTTGCTTTATGCCTTGCTCTTTCCTATCCCCAGTAAGCAAATGTGTATATCTTGGGTTCACTGTAACTGCTGTTCTTTGCCTAGGACACAGGTGGCTTCTTCTTCCTCCTCATTTAGGTTTCTGCTCAGATTCACCTTTCAAGCGGCTTTTCTGGTTGGATCCATCCAAAACAGCACACCCATCACTATCTCCATATTTTATTCTTCCTCATAGTCCTTATTACCACTTGAATTATATAGTCCTAATAGTTCTAACAAGACAATGGAATCTCACTGCCAGTACAAATCAATGTTCCTATGTAAATACCTGCATGGCATTTTAACCTAGGATTCCAAGATGGAAATGAGAAGAAATAAAAACAAACTAAAACTCTGCAAGGAGGCACATTATGCTATCTTGTTCTCTGCTTTATTCCTAACTCTCTGCATAGTGCTTGATTCATGTGAAGTCCTCAATGAATATTTGATGGACTATGAATAATAATGATGATGACTGTGACAATAATACAATAACACAGACCATCACATGTTTACTAAGTCCCACAAGCTATGCAAAGCTCTTTACAGTGGTCATTGTGTTTCATCCTCATAAAAACTCTGAAAGCAGGGACCAAAGGAAATCTAGGCTTAGAAAATTGCATGCAGTTGGGCACAGTGGTGCGTGCCTGTAACCTTAGCTACTACAGAGGCTGAGGCAGGAGGATTGCAATTTGAGGCCAGTCTCAAGGCCAGAAGCCTAGTGAGATCGTGTCTAAAAATAAAAAGGACTGAGGATGAGGCTCCATGATAGAGCACCTCTAGTTCAATCCCCAGTACCACACACGCACAAAAAAAGCATTTTGTGGTCAATGTCACATCTGACAAGCAGCAAAGCCAGAATTCAAACCCGGAAGTCCAACTCTAAATCTCATGATGATCTTCACCCATGTCATGGTGATGAATGAAATGAAGAGCAGGTGAATAAGCTGCAGACAAAAAGACAAGGAACACTTTTGTTGACTTGTTGCCCCTTAAAAGTAAGATGGGTCACCAACAGCTCTATGGAGACACCTGCAAAATTGTGGCCACGGTTCTCGCTCTTGTCAAGTCTGCTCAAACTGGTACAATGTGATCCAGAAAAATGGCCTCAGCATGTGCTGGCAATTGTTTCCATCAGTATGTGAAGAATACAGGTTTCATTAAGTTGGACTAAGTGATCTTCCTTGAATGGATTGCCCCAAGACAGCTACTTGATGAAAGACAACATGATAGCTCTTTGTACTTGAAATAAAATTCTTAAAAAAAAAAAAAAAAAAAATCTCAAGGAAAAAAAAGTGGAAACAAAGTACAGTGCTGGTTATCTTCCCCAGTGCAGGTAGTGGGGGTGGGGAGCAATTCCCATGGACAATGATAAGATGAGAGTTGCCTTCTCTCTTTGCTCCATCACCTCCAGCCACAGCTGCTCTGGACAGGAGAATGGAAACAGAATACACCATAGACAGCAAGAAAGTGAGAAGGAAGGAGGGAGAAGGTAGGGGTCAAGACTAGCACAACAGGAAGAGAAGGAAAATTCAGTAGTGGAAAATGTTATACACACAAAAGTTGTAGGTGGCCAACACCAATACAAATGGAAAACACCATCCCTGATATTTGCCTTCTAGGAGAGTATATCCTTGGCCTAGATAATTTCTCCTTGGAGATTTAAGTCAAACTGTCTTCCTTATCATGCCCTCTTGGGTGCCTGTAACCTGGCAGATAGATTAACGGATCTGCTGAACCAAACTGAGGCAAGCTCAGGACTTTTTAGAAAGACTGCTTTGGATGACAGTTGGAAATTTCCCATAAGGGACATCAAGGATGTGGACGTGGGGGTAGGTGGGAGGGGTTCGTAGAAACAGTAGTTGAACCAGTACTTAGAAGATTCCTGCTGCTTTGTGGATTCTAAACCATGGGGTGAAACAGCTGGCCTTGCAGTACCCTTGGAAAAATCAGTGTTCACCTCAGCAGAAAACATTATTTATTTCTAAAATCCTGAAATCTTCATAAATTAAAAAGAATATTCTCTCTTACTCTGATAGAGGAAAGGAAACCACACACAAACAAAATAAATAAAATCTACTTGTTCCAAGTCACTCTTCCAATAAAACTATGACAGGTGAGGTCTTAACAGCAGTATGATAAGGTGCTCCAGACCATCCTGACCAGACTCTACCCTAACACATACTGGTTCTTACTGTCAATCAATTTCCTACAGTAACTCAGTTGAGTGATCTTCCTTTATCCCACAAAATGCTAGTTTGGGCTGTGATAACTGGGATTAAAAGTGAAAACCACCCGGTAGGTATATGGACATCACTTAACAAAATATAAATACAAATTTCCCACTAAAGAGCTGTAGACCCAGGGCCACTGTTATGGTTTAGATATTAGGTGTCTCCCAAAAGCTCATGCATGAGACAATGCAAGAAAGTTTAAAGGTAAAATGATTGGCTTATCAGAGTTTAACCTAATCAGTACATTTATTAATCCACCGATAGGGATTAACTGTATGGTAACTGAAGGCAGGTAGGGTGTGGCTGGAGGAGGTACATCATTGGGGTATGCCTCTGGGATACATATTTGTCCTTGGTGAAAGGAGAACTCCCTCTTGCTCTCTGCTTCCTGGTGGCCACGTCCTGAGCTGCTTTCCTCTGCGACAATGGTCTGCTATGATGCTCTGCTTCATCTCAGGCCCAGAGCAACAGAATCAGCCATCTATGGAATGAGACCTCTGAAACTATGAGCCTCCAATAAACTCTTCCTCCTCTATGTTGTTCTTTTGAGGACTTTTGGTATTAGCAGAGGAAAAAAAAACTTGAGTAAAACAGCCAGTTTGTGTTGGTAATGCCTCATTGCAAACATATCATTATCTGTTTGCATTGGCAGGACTTTGCCAAATGATAGTTGCCCGTACACGTTACACCCTATTTGCACTCAGAACACACTTGCTTAAAATGTCATAAAATATAGCACCTCTTTATTGAGATCAAACCTTCAAGCTTTGCATCAAGAATGGACTCTGATTGACTTTGAATTGGTGTAGCTTGAAAGAGTAAAAGAAAACTGATATTATTAAGCAGAAAAACTCTGCACATTTCATGTGTAGAGAAGAATCCAAAAGCAATGCAAGGGGTGGGTTACCAAAATGGGAGGATGAGAGGCCTCAGTCTTTGGAATACTGACCCTCTGCCTTCAGGTCTTCTTAAAGCTATCCCTGAAAACCAGGGATGTGGGCTCTGGCATGCTATAATGACAGGATCTGGGCCCTGGCCCTCCTTCCATTAGGAAGTATCTGAGCATAGCTGCTAAAACCTGCAAACAGGAGGGATCACTTTTCTATTATTATTGAAGCAATTTACCTTGAGAAGCAGGGGGAAATTTTTTTTTTAATAGAATTAAACCATTCTTGTAACGACTGCTATCATTTAAGATAGCAAAGGAATTATAAATCCTACTTTAGAGGGGGAGATAAAGTTTAAAGATTTATGACCAAAGTCCGCACAATTGATCAGGAACGAAACCAGGCTTCTAAGTTACTCTTTTCCAGAATGTGTAGCTAACACGGTCCCATTTTAAATGAGGGACATTGCAGTTTGTGCTTGGCCACAACTTTCAGGATATTCTGTAAGTATTTCCAACTCTAATTTCACTACATAAATAACAAGAAATCCCATAAATAAAATGATCACATAATGGGAAACCATTCCCAAATATTGCACAGAAATGAATGAAAACATTCAGCTTCTAGGATGAAAGCAAAGTATATATATGTGTGTATGCTCCATCACCTCCAGCCACAGCTGCTCTGGACAGGAGAATGGAAACAGAATACACAATAGACAGCACAAGCACATACACAGATACATATTCTCTTACCCTTCTGATAAACATTTTAAATAAAATTCTATTTAAGTCAGTGATGAGAATTCTAGCAAAAAAAAATTCTTTAAAGAAAAAAAGTTGAGGGTCTTATATATAGAAAAGCAACTTATATGGGTTTGTTTTTTTCCTTTAGGTGAGAAATATACAGTATTTCACCTGCCTTCCCAACAGACATTAAAAAGAATATAAATTCTATCTGTAAGTACCAAACTAAAATTTAGCATGAGTTCTGCTTTAAGGAATAATATCTCTTTGAAAAACCTACCACAAGATGGTTATGGGGTACAGGGAAACAGGGACTGATGAATATAGACTCACATTAAATAAAATGGGTCAGAAAAAATAGAGAGCCATGGATGAGGGAAGCCCCCAGGAGTTACATTCCCAAACACACAAAGTGAGAAAAGCAGAGACAACTTTTTATCCTTTCTTAGCCAGATGGCTGGTAATCCACAAAACAGTCAACAAGGAGTGACAGAGAGAGACATGCACAGACACACAGGAAACGAGCGTAAGCACATCTACACAAAGAAAATGATTTTATCCCTGGTGGCCTAGGGTGCTGCATGTAGGAAATGTACAGAAAATGACAATTCACTCTAGGGCAAGACTAAGTTATTTTTAAAATGCACGTGCTAAAGGCCTACCAAAGCTAATGGAATTACATACTATTTTAATTCAGAAAACCTATGGCTTTATTATCTTTTCAAAGATTGATTTCTTCCCTTCTGCCTTCGCCCATTGTTAACTCTTACCTGCCTCCTTCAAAGCGACTGATGAGATCTGAAACCTTACTGGGTTTTTCTTTTGAGACACAAGAAGCAGAGGCAGGTTTAATTTCCTCCATCCTTGGTCTTGCACTAGGTAAAGCTTTATGCCTGGGGGTTTGGTGTATATTGGACGAAGGCGAATTCTGCAGATGTAATGGCTTTGGAGGCACTGTAGAAAAAGAACAGAATTCAATATTTCACCAATACATTGTTCTTTAACAATAAAGAGTCTGGTACCCTGAGTACAAAAATCTTTAGCATTATCATACTGTTTGTAAGGGGTCTTTGCAATCTGAACTGAATCTTAACCAAGCGACCTTTATTTGTCTTGGACATTTGCTTCATGTCCCATGGAAATCCTATTTCCAAATTTAAATAGTTCATTTACTATTAATTCATCTTAGATACAGAAATGTATGTAGGACTACAGCATCCCAGAGACAACATAGCAGTTATTCATTTAAACAGAAAAAAGAAGGTGCTAAGTTTGAAATTAAATCCTAGAGATAAACTATTGGCTACAATACAGATTTTCTAATTGAGTGATAATAGATATACCAGAATCCAGAGCTACTGAGTTAAACAACACAAAAGTCAACAGAACAACAACAAATAGCAGCAATACAAGGTTGCATTCACACAGCATTTCCCATTTATGAAAGCACTTTACCTCATTTGATCTTAGATAGAATTTTACACCTTACAGACCAGAGCCAGAGGTAGGTACTGTTATTCACCTGTCATGTTTATGAACACTTGCAGAAGTGATTGGCTTGGGGTAACAAGTCTAATCTAATTTGATGGCTGGTACCTAGACTCTAGGATTCCCATCATCAGTACTGCTCTTCCTTGTAAACCCAGCAAAAGGGAATGGAGGGACACAGAAGTACTTTTATTACTGTTTGCCACATTATAGAGTAGGCTTGCATTGATATACCACAAATCATGTTTACTAGTAAGTTCTTCATTCAATTCACAGAATAGGAAAAGATTGGTTCCTGAGATACTAAAATCTACAGACATTCCCTAGCAGACTCTGGATATATAATCGGTATATAATCAGTACAGGTATTCCTTCACTTATGGAAAACCAATATAATTTTTCTTTAAGATTAACACTGAGGGTAAAAGTTTATAACATGTATTTTTCTAGGACTGATTTTAACAGATCAAATAGAATCATCTCCTATTTCTTTCTTAAACCATTCCATCTTCTGGAACAAGGGTAAGGAATCATGTCGCCTTCTAATTACATGCCCCACTTTGCCCAGCTGGCTGCCCTGGCTTTCAGTTATCTCATCTCTTATGAACTCAGCTAGCTGACAGTTGCTGGATGCACACTGGCCTAGATTTCATCACTCCTGTGCCAGTTATCAATTTATTACAGGAAAGGAAAAAATATATCACAATGAGCTACAAGTGGAGCAGTTAATTCATTTTATTGTCTTATAATATAAGAAGAAAATCCCTGAATGAAAGAGCAGCTTCTCCTCCTCCTCCTCCTTTTGAAATGAAAATAATAGTGTCTAAGATACAGTCAGGGGAAATGGTTAGTGTAGTATCCATTGGGAAAGAAGGGGTTTACATAATAAGTGTGATGTGTTAATTTTAAGAAAAAAAAATTTCTCACGCAGAAAAAAGTACAAAGTAGTAAAGCAGGACACCATCCCCACACATACACACACCAAAACACACCTTTCAAGCTTTAGGAATAATTTCAACATTTCTAACTAGAATATTGAAAGGAAGTGAATATGTTCTTTATAATTCTTTGTGCTACAATTGTTATAAAAGAAATCATCCATTTACAGTTGACTCACTGAACATTCCTTATAACGTGGGAGACACTGTTAGATACTTGAAAAACTGAAATATAAAGGCTTAGCTAGCTTTTCAGAGATGACTCTACTGACCTTAGCAAACTAATTATGCACCTCACCCACCCATACTGGGGTTGGAACCCAGGGCCTTCTGCATATAAAGCACATGCTCTATCACCCCCTGCCCTACACCCATCTCTTAAACTGTTTCAAAGTACTGTGTACCTTTTCTTCAAAGTGCTTGTAAGTTTTATGCAATCATTAGATAACTAGCGATACATTAGTGAACATACAATAGCAACAAGTAACCAAAAAATTTAGTGTATACTGCTAAAGCAAATACATGATCACAATTATATTTACTGTAACTAGTTGTATACTGTGTTTAGTAAATCTGTGAAACACACTAATCAATGTGTGCCATCCAGGAGCTCATATACTAGTGGGGGAAACAGTTTAACCATGTTGATATAGGTGAGTGCTGGGTATACTGCATTTTAGAAACATAGAGGAAGCATCTAATTCAGTAAGAGAGATAATCCAAAGGCACAGTAAATCAGTAATATACACATTTTAAATAAAGGAACACATATAGTAGATATGATAAATACCTCAAAATAGTTTACAAATGGCCAAAGTGTCATAAACATCGTCTTAGAGGGAAACTGTCCTTTTGTTTGTCATTACTGGTCTATAATAAAACACAATGAATACTTTGCACAAAAGACCTAACCAACGAGTAAAAATTCTTTTACTCTCAAAGTTAAGCAATAATCGAGGAACATGTGCTGCAGATTTCAAAGAAAAATACATCTTGTATGCTATGTATTTTTGATGCTAAAAATTTGATTCAAAATTAAAAACCAAGAACTTGTGTTTAATTTAATACTTTGTATCAAAAGAAAGTAACAATAGCAGGACCAAGGAGGGAAGGAATTGATGCCTCAAATTACTGAAACTAAGTTTCTCTTCATGTTTCTCAGCTTATGGGAAACCAAAGGAGCTATAGTCATCTTCTTTATCTCCAAGGATTCAACTTCTTTCTTTTCTGTTGCCTTGCTGTTCTCTAGGGATTTAAAAATATCCACCCCCTGTAAACTTTAGGCTGTTATCAATGCTTTCAGTGACTGCCTCTAAGATACACTTGCATTTCTCAATGAATCTCCATTCCCTCACCGATCCCTATTTCTGATCTTTTACATGGTGGGGTCAGCATTTCCAAGTGCTTTCTGGGCATCGCCTAGGTGCTCCATCAGCAAATCTAGTTCATTATATCTAAAACTCAATTTATTACCTCTTACAAAAGAGCTTCCCCTCCACCTATATTCTCCATTTTTATAAATATTTAACATCATTCATCACTTGTCTCAGAATCATTCATCAAATGCAATTGATCATTATACCCACAGACTAAATAAACAGTGTTCTGGGCACTGTGCATATGTTCCTTGCCCTCACAGATGTACAAGTCCACCTTCCCTCTAACATTACTTCTCTTTATAAAATCATTTACAAAGTCCAGCTGATTGTATCTCTATACTAGCTAAGGCTCCTCCTTTTCCTTCCACAGTTACTGCACTAAGGCCCTCTTATCTCTCACATATTCCCAGTGCCCACATTTAATTCAAAATAAACAATAAAAATGAAAGGGTCAGCAGTCAGGTGAAATCCTAGCTATTCAGGAGGACTGCAAGTTCAAGGCCAGCCTGGGCAATTTAGCAAGACCCTGCCTCAAAATAAAAAGGGTTAAGGATGCAGCTCAATGGTAGAGTACCCCTGGGTTCAATTCCCATGAATTCACGTTAACACACTCTCATAGTTTGTGCCTAGAAGGTGAATTTTTCATGATCAACTTTTGTTATCAGTCTCAATAACTTTTATAAAAAGATGACAACTCTAATCAATTGCTATTTACTTGAGAATTTGAGACTCCAGACTTAAAAATGATGATGATGATGATGATGATGATTAGCAATGTCTGCCCTGAGTGCAAAATAGAATATTTGCTATTATTTTAAAATCAATACATTAATAACTGTCTCATATTGTGAGTACCTGATAGCATATGAAATATGACAGAGCATGCCCCCGAATATACTACTTTGGAATAAGGATTATTTTGAGCAAGACTTTAGAAAAACAGCAGGTGTGAGAAGGACATGTTGCCTCTTTTTCTTCCTTAAACCAGAAGGGGTGGGGGAGGCCCTCTAGAAGCTGTCTTCCCTATACCAGAAGGAAAGTAACCTTCGTTTCACCACTGATGAGGAGTTAAGGCTAAGAAAACTGTACACACATAACCTGTTACAGTAACTCCAACTTTCTAGTTGTCCCTCTATAACTAAGGAAAAGTCCCTTTGTCTTATTTTCATAATTTATTATTCTTTATCTAATTTGGTATATAAGAATTCAGCTTCTTTAGGCCTCCATTTTTCTTATGGAGACTCCATGTACATGTAAAAACTATATGTGCATTGTGTATATACACACATATAAATTTATATATGTTTGTTATATAAATAAATTTTATTATATAAATAAGTATGTATTTATTATACACATTTATATTATATAATCTGTCTTGTTTCAGTTTAATTCTCAGGTCTAACCATAGACCCTAAAAGCAAAGAGGAGAAATTTTTCTTCCTCTACTCTTAGAGGGTCATGAACCAGAAAGAATAAATCTTCCTTTTTTACATATTAATACAATCCAGATTGTTAGTAATCTATTATAAAACTAAAAAGAAACCTAAAATCTGAAGCTAAAGAAATCACGATTTTAGCCAAGTTCGGTGGTGCATGCCTGTAATCCCAGTGACTCGGGAGGCTGAGACAGGAGGATTGCTAGTTCAAAGCCAGCCTCAGCAAAAGTGAGGCACTAAGCAACTCAGTGAGACCCTGTCTCTAAATAAAATGCAAAATAGAGCTGGGGATGTGGCTCAGTAGTTGAATGTCCCTGAGTTCAATTTCCAGTACCCACTCCCCCCCAAAAAAATAAGAAAGATTTTATAAATAGACAAAGAATATTGTAAAAGACGCCCCCCCCCCCCCAATTGTACGATAGGGAAAAAAGATCATAAATTGTAGGCAAGATTTTAAGGCCACAGTTTATTATTAATTCCTACTGGTATTTGAGACAATGAGAATGGAAATGCTTAATGTTTCAATTCCTCTTCCTCTTACTATTTCATTCATTCATTCATTTCAGATATTAGTTCTAGAGATATCAGGACAGTAATGTAACATCTAAAACAGGCAAAATCATTCCCACTAACAGTAGTTTAGCATGCAACTACAATCACTCCCTTCTTGTTTTGTACCAAAATAAAAAAAATTAAAAAAAAATAAAATT